AGCGGCTTACGGGCAACAGAGCTGACACTGCCAACCTCAGCCCTCCGAGCTGCTCATCAGGTCACCAGCAGACCTCACCCTGGCCTTCCAGATCACCTCCTGGAGCCCTGCCCTGGCCCCAGCACAAGATCTCAGAAGTTTCTCTCATCTATGAACAGCACAACTAGATTTCTCAGTAATGGCTGAAAATGGAAAGGCCCTTATCGCACTTCATCAAAGATACAAACAAGCAAAGTACAAAAGGGTTATAAATTAAAAATTCAACACAAAAAGCTTTTATTTATTCTTCATTCATTCAGTGAGTTTTAATTGCATGCTTACAGTGTACCACGCACGCACTGGGACTCCTGGCAAGGAACAAGAGGTCACAGTAGGTCTCCTCTGAGATTTAAGGTTTACCCTTACACGAGGACAAGGTCCCTGCAGGAAAGTCTCGGCACTGCTCAGAAAACAACCCCAACCCTGCCAACTCTAGGATGCAAAAGTAAAGTGCCTTCGAGGGTGGATGTGGGAGATCAACTTCTCGGTAACCTAAGCCATGCAGTCAGGAGATTCAGGGATCAGCTCAGGAGGGTTGAGTGGAGGAAAACGTCTTCAGACTCTCAAGTGAATACTCTGGAATCAAAAGCTGCTCTTTCCCCAAGCATGTTTTTTTTTTAAAAAGGAGCAAAAAGGTACTTTGCTTGGGTCCCATTTTCCAACCCTAACACAAAGCGACATCTGCGGAGTCCTAGCTCTTTCAGCTATCTCCGGGGAGAGGTGCAGCGCCGGTCTGCTCTTCCAGGGAAACACAGTCACACATCCTCAGACTCAACCAACCGCTGACCGAAAATAATGCATCTGCACTAAAAAGGCGCAGGACTTTTCCATTGCCATTATTCCAAAAATGATCCTGAGCAATGACCACTCACACAGCACATACATTTCATTAGAGGTTAGAAGTCAGGCAGAGGTGAGGTAAAGTATACAGGAGATGCTGGGCATGTGGCGACACCTGTAGTCCCAGCTCCTCAGGAGGCTGAGGCAGGAGGATCACTTGATCTCATGAGTTCAAGACCCCACCTCAAAAAGAAAAGAATAAAGGAGGAGGTGTGTGAGTTATATGTCGACTTACCATTTTATATAAGGGATGCAAGTATCTATGTATTCTGGCTTCCTGGAGAGGAGGAGCCTCCTGGGACCAACCCTCCATAAGTAGTTTTCTGCCACAGACAAACGAGCAAAGTCAAAGCTGAAACTGAAAGCTTGGTGACAGGATGCTGGAAACCTTGGAGAGCGACCTACGGGATAACTTCAGTCTAACTTGCAGCATCTCAACATGGTAAGTGTGTAAAGTCTACACTGACTACTTCACAGCAAGGGCGGCACTGATGCCAATTATTTTTTGTTCTAGTCAAAAGAGCTTGTCGTTTTTCCACAGAACAATTTCCTATAGGTGCCTGATAGTTAAAAGCGAAATTCTTTCCCCAGTTCAGCATGGGAAAAGTGCTGCTCACAGCAATTTGATATCATTTCAATAAGTTAGATTAATTTTAAATGTGTTATTCTAACAATTATGCCAACTACCATGTAGTTAATATGCCAACTGGCTTTATAAAAATTACAAAAATCCCCTGAAGAAAACAGCCAGTCATTAGGCACACACGAGACTCTTCCACGGCCAACAGCTGATGGAATGGAAAGTTCACCACATGATGGGCAGCGTCACAGCCCTTCCCACACTTCCTTCAATTCCTAGCCAATAGCACGGAGCGCCAACATTAGCAAGTCACCCCCAACTTCACTTAACATATTAATGCACTCGGGGGTTTAAATTCTGTGAGGGTGAAATGATGAATGGTGAAAGCTCCGGCAACAAAAAAGCTCTTTTCATTTATAGGAGAAGAAGATAAACACATATAATTAATTGTTTTGCTTCTTCCATGTCACCAGCTGGAAATTAGAAAACTGGCTTATTTCTGGAGGCTACTTCTTGAGTTTATTACAGAAATGTACGTAAGGCATCCTTACCCTGCTTCCCCTCTTTTCTTTCTGGGTTTTAGGGATTCTTACTATCTGCCTCAGATCGTTCCCAGAGTTGGGTCAGGTATAAATAAGTCATGGTCACATGGGTCATCAACTACCATAACAGATGATAAACACCTTTACCCTGCCACTCTGCTCTGAGCAACTGCCGACGGCTGCCTCGCCCCTGAACAGAGTTGCAAGGCCTGTGAGCTGATAACACACAGTCTCAGCAGGAAAGAATGCAACACTTGATTAGTGATGTCCACCCTGGAAAGAGCAAGAGTTGAGGAACCGTGTACTGTGTATTTACCAACTCTATCCTTTGTGCATGACAAACACCAAAACATGCATACAGATGAAATGAATAAAATGTATAAATGAAATATACTATGAATTATTTCTAGGATGCAACCAAAAGGAGAAAAAAATGTTCTCTGAAGTTGAAAACCTTAAGCAAAACTGAACTAAGCATCAAGTTTTAGGGGAAAAAACAATGAGTCAGGAAATAAGTCAGGAAACTCAAACTGTAGTCCAGCTGGGGAGCTGCAACGAGGTCAGTTCACTGGGCCTTAGTCTGTTTGGCTCTAACCCAAGAAGGTGAATCTCGACTGTCCTCTTCTGCTGGGGCACCAGGGAATGAAAGCACACAGTCACTTTGCAGACGCTTCACCTCCCCAGGCTGGGGACAAGCCAACAAGCTCACACACGGGATATATACGCATATATTTTCACACAGGCTATTCACCTGTGGCATCTCCAAGGCAAGAAGTTTCATTCAAAATCACTGCAATGTAACATCAGTCACTTATAGATTTGGGATCGGCCTACCTATTCCCACCACTGAAGTCCTTGTCACTCTAGCCTTTTCAAGAACAACTTTACCGACATGACTTATCAATACGGTTTTCTTGTCCCAGCACCAAACAGCAAGACTTTCTACAAGGAGCCCAACCAGAAATAAGTCACACCATGTACCTAAAGACTGGATTCTATCTACACACCAGGTAGCCTACTCTCCCTCCCTCCCCATCCCCTCTGCTTTTTTATTACTATATGTGTGCAGACTGGCTCTAGAACCTCCAAAACTGTGAGTTATATAACCTTCTTTTCGGGCCGGGGATTTAGCTCAGCGGTTCTGGCAACTGCCTCGCAAGCGCAAGGACCTGAGTTTGATCACCAGTACCTAAATAATAAATAAATAAATAACCAACCAACCAACCTTCTTTTCTTTATATAGTTAGCCTATGCAGGTTGCCTGTTATAATAACGAAAAGCTGACGTATCCAGCCAGCCTGCTTTTGGGAACTGCCCCTCCAACTCCAAGGGGCAACACTGCTTGTGCTTCAGATGAACTGAGCTAGGAATGTCACCCAAGGAGTCAATGACCCATCTCTGGGGACATCTACTGAGTAAGGTCACAGTCATATTTCAGAGTCTGACACAGACATTAGGAGACCTCCAGGCAGATGCCAATTGCGAGGCATCTTTTCCAACACTTGGAAAATATCAGAACAGAAAGCAGGCTTCAAGAGAGAAAAGACTTCTGATACATCACCTGTGCACCATGATCCTCATGAGCTGAGCCTCACACCAGAAACTCCCTGAACAGTTTAGTTCTTTGTCCCAATGAAGTCTCTTCCAATCTCCCAGACTTACTCTACTAACCAAACTGAGTTTCCATCACAGGCAGCCGCAAGTTTAGCAGAAAGGCTTTCAGGCTCACTGTACATATTTAAGGTTCAAGTTCTTTCTTTAGTATCTCATGACAAATCATCCTCTTTCTCAATTGGATCAGCTTCCAGGGTTCTCCTTCAAACCAAAGATTACCAAAATATCCCAGAGAAATTCAAATAAATATCTCTGCACACCAGAAAAACTGTAACAGCTCATCAGTTATCCAGGACCCAAGGAGAAAAAGACCAGAGACAAGTGGAAAAGGTGATGCATAATGAAGGCGGCAGAGCAGTTCACAGCCAATAACCGGAAGAACAATTATCTCCAGGGAGCTAAAAGAATAATGAGAAATGCTTTCAAAATTGTTCCTAAAAGAGCTGGGGATTTAGCTCAGTGTTGCCGCTGCCTGCCTTGCAAGTGCCAAGGTCCCGAGTTTGATCCCCAGCACCAAAAAAAAAAAGTTCCTAAAGTTTTTTCCAGTGCCCTATAAACAGGAAAATATGCATACAACCACACACAGCTAATAAACAAAAGGAACACATCAGAAAACAAACTGTTTCTAGGCTTAATGAATCTAATTGTTCCTGTTTTTTGTAGATGAGTTCAGCTTTGCTTTTCTAGCCTTCCTAAGGTCTAAACCATAGGGCTGCCAGCTGTAGAAAACCATGAACATCCAATTCTGGGGAGCACGTTAGGAGGACCCTACCTCAGATGGGTCTAAGAGCACCTAACAGACTGCCTTTCAGTGATGTTCTTCCATTACTGGAGAAAGATAATAAAAGAGCAAACAATGTGAATGACTGAACATCCAGACCATCAGTCCTTAACCTCCCAGGAGTCATGAACACCTCTGAAAATCTGATGAAGGCAGGACACTTTCCTCAGACAAAAATGTACGTGCCAACATACTGCAGATAACATCAAGAAGTTCACAAAAGCTGCTCCCAAACCCCAGACTCCAGATTAAATACACCTGACTTAAAACTCTTTTTGAAATGTAATTCCCTGTGTATCATTATTAATCCTGAAAGACTCCAAAGGACCACAAAATAGCTTACAGGGATAGTCTTAAAAATTCCAAACCTATATAACTCTATGCTGAATCAAAAGTAAAAAAGAAAGGGGTTGAAGATGTCACTCAATGGTACAGTGCTGGGCTGGCAATACACAGGCTCTGGGTTTGATCCTCAGTATGACAAAATAATAATAATAATAAAGAATTTAAAAAGAAATAAAACTGACCCTCACTTTCTACATTTACAGGACAGAAGCAAATTTGGCTCTTGTTCTGTTCGCTCCATTCATGACGTCTCCCTTACCTTGTTGGACCATTTATACGCCTGCAGGAGTTGACTGTACAGAGGAGTTTTGTCCTGTACAGGGTCCAGGCTTAACAGCCCACTGTTGTGCAGAGGGTGGTTCTCAGACGGCTTGCCTACCAAGTTGCTCAGGCGCTCCAGCTCACTGAAAAACACAGCAAATAAACCTGAGTCCACTCGAAATCCACCCAATCAACCACACCAGTCAAAGGGTGCTCGTCAAAGTACCCATCAGAAGTGCCTTAAGAAGAAATATTTTGTGAACAGTAAAAAAAGACCAGGAACAAACTAAGAAAAATCTTCACTTGGGAGTTTAATCTTGATTTAAAACTCCCTGGAGCTGTTCCAAAGGAGGAAAAAAAAAAAGTTAAGGGTACAAGAATCAGTAAGACTCCTAAAATCAGGATTTAACAACTCGAATTAGACTCTGCAGGGGAGGAGACTTTCTGGGATCTCACAGTGTGGCACAACACTGCCTCTCATGAAGGGTTTTCAGACCCACATACGTGCAGATCACTACATTTGGCAGAACAGCCAGTACCTGAATAAATGATGATTATTTATCATCCACATAGAGATAGATTTTGTACATGATGCTTCACAGATGGTGAAACTTAGCAAAACAAAGAAGAGATAAAATAAACAAATGGAATGGGAAGACACCACGGAGAGGGTTGTGTCAAACAAACACACTTCAGTCTAGCAGGAAAACTCTGGAGAAGCTCAGGAAAGTGAGCCAACAGCAAAAGCACATTCCTGAGGCACATTCTCAGGGGCCAGTCACCAACTGCCAACAAAAGCCTCACTCTTTCTGAAAAGCATCTCATGCTATTTGTTTCTGGAATCTCCAGCCATCTTGCCATTACTGTACAAAGACTGAAAAAGGCAAAGGGGTAGTGTCATTATTTTTGAAGTTTCTAAAATAATGAAGGGTTCTGACAGCCAGAACCTCAAAAAGAGGGACAAATCAGCGTGAAAATGACAATGCAAATGAGGAAATAACCACTGTGGCCCCTCACGCAGGCAAAGTATTAACTGGTGCTTGGCACTAAACCCACAGAAGGCAAGTGGATGTAGGAGCTGAGGAGGGATGAGTGACTTTCGGCAACTATTTAAGGGGAGAAAACGGATCCCATCATTCGGCCACCACCACCTACATCCTCTTTTCATTTGGTTACTAAGGAGACCCAAGTTGAAAAAATAATTGGGCCGAAGGTGTAGCTCAGTGGTAGAGCTCTGGTTGGGAAGGCACAAGGCCCTGAATTCCATCCCCAGCACTAAAACCATAAGAGGAACAGCGCACCAAATACCTTCCCTACCAAGGTCTGTTCTAAGAAATAAAAGCAAAAATCCTAAAATTCTAACGGTCCTAAGTAGGACCAACTCTCCTAAGGAAGCAAAGGCAAATTAAATTAAGGATCTAGGCAATCAAGAAGTGCCTTTCACGTGCTGCGCTTTCACAAACACTCTTATTCGATTCCCGTAACAGTACTTATGAAGTAGAATTAAAGAAGGTGACTTGGAAGTAAGAAATGTACAATCCAGACCCTTCACAGACCACAAAATAAGAACTGGGAAGCGGGGGCGGGTTAAAGCATAAATGATTGTACTGGTTAACGGATTCGAGATCAGGTCTCTACTGAGAAGAACTGAAGGAAAGCACTGGGAGTGAAGTGACAATACTGAGCAGGTGGCTTGGGGGGGGCGGGAAAAGGGGGGGAAGCCAGATCAAGGCCGGCTTTGTCGTGTTTGTGAGCGACATGAGGTGGAACTGATAAATTCTAGGTGGAGGAGCGGAGACCTGGGCCAATCAGATCCAGGGCCCTGGTCCGGAACACTGCTGACCCGGTGCTGTCTGGACTATCAGTACAGTCTGACCACACATGACGGGGCCCAGAGAGCCTACAGGTAAGAAACCTGCTGGGCTTCGCTAAGTGGAAGTTGCAGGCAAGAGCACGCCTCCTCTTTCGGAGTGGGACGAGCCCAGAGGGGGTCGAGAGAAGTGGAAGGCAGCCGGGAGTAGGAGGCCGAGAACAGAGACGGGAAAGCGGGGCTGGGGGGAGGAGGTGTCCCCGAGGGCTGGGAAACACTAGGAGAGGCAGCAAGAGAACGGAGAGAGCAAGGAAAAGAGAGAACACACTGACTGGGAGCCCTCCCGCGGGGTTGGAGCACAGTGGGAGCAGGGCAGGTCCTTGACCCCGGCCCCTCCGTCGGTACCTACTTAAGGTCCCGGTTGACCGAATGCAAGTTGTCCTGGAAGTGCGCAATGAAGGCCTTCTCTCGGCCCTCTAGCGTCTCCTTGTTCCGCATACCATCCTTCAAGCAGTCGAACACTCTGCTCACGCTGGATCGCAGCGCCTGAATGGCACTGATAGCCTGGGCAAAGGCCTCCAGGTTTACCCCGACGCTCAGCACGTCCGCCATGTTGCCGCCGCCGCTACAGAGCCGGCACTTCAAGCAAAACGCCGCGCGAGCTGATGACGTCAGCCCCGCGGACCTCTGGGAAATGTAGTGCGGGCGCAGCTTCTCGTGGGAAACAAGAGTTTCCACTTTGACAAAGGGAATGCCTGGGGGTGGAAAAGGATCTCAATTTGAGGGAAATCAGTTTGCACATCCGATTAGCATAATGGTTTGCATAATGATGTGTCTTTCCCCGAAGTAGAAGTTTGTAACCCATTGAATAAAATGAGTTTATGTTCATGTATAAGGTGGGGAGAGAGGGGGAAATCTCTTCCCTACAATAGGACAACCAATAAATACAGAGTGATGGAATCAGAAAAGTGACATTTGACAACCATGGGAATAATCGAGTCAGGTAGGAATCAATGGATATAAAAGCTAGCAAAAGCTAGTAAAAGCTAGTAAAGCTAGTAAAAGCATGAAAGTGTGTCAAGAACAACAGGATATTTACAGAGTCTCAAAGTACCCTCCCCGAAGGAAGAAGGGGGAAAATGACTCAACAATTTCACTTCTGAGCCTATACATAAGTGAATTGAAAGTAAGGCCTCAGTGGGAGTGCAGACTGGTGCAACCACTATGGAAATCAATATGGAGATACCCCAAAGAGCTTGGACTGGAGGTTCCATTTGACCCAGCCATCCCTCTGCTGGGTATCTTTCCAAAAGAACTAAAAGAATCATATCACAGAGAACTATGGACACCCATGTTTATAGCAGCACAGTTTGTAATAGCTAAAATTTGGAAACAGCCCATTTGCCCATCTGTTGGAAAATGGATAAAGAAGATGTGGTTTTTCTATAAAATGGAATATTTCTCAGCCATAAAGAATGAGAAAATAGATTCATTCATAGGAAAATGGATACATATTGAAGATATACTCCTAAGTGAAATAAATAAGGCACACATGTGTAAATACCGAATAGTTTCCCTGGTGTGAATAATCTGCAATAATACATTAGATCCTAATAAGATTACTGACATGTAGAAATGGGAAGTAAGGAGCTAAAGGTGTAGGGAAGGTGGATTGGGTAGGGGAAGGGTAATAAGGGAAAAGAAAAAAATGTGAGATAATGAAAAGATGAAAATAAAGTGTTTGTAGATGGGGAGGGGAGGAGGGGGTGAAGGGAGGGCAGGGACAAGGGGAAAAAATGAGAATCAAGACTTGTCATGTAGAGGTACAAGATCCCAACAATGAATGTAACTGTACTGTATCCCTAAAATGTACCAATAAACTCAATTAAAGCTGAAAAAAAAAAGAAAGTAAGGCCTCAAAGAGATATTTATACACCCGTGATCATAGCATTATTCACAATAGTCAAAAGATGGAAGGGACCCAAGTGTCGCTCAATGGATGAGCCATTAAATAAAATGTGGTCTATCCATGCAATCAAATATGATCCATCTTAAGAAGGAAGAACATCCTGACACATGTTCCTCATGTGAGATCTGAGTAAGGCCTGTGTACATTATTTTATCAGTTACAATTTCATAGATGAAACCTCAGGACGTTTTACCGGGAGAAATAAGACAGTCACAAAAGGACAAATGATGTACAACTCCATTTCTATGAAGTCCTTAGAGTAGTCAAAATCATACAGACAAAAGCGCAATGGTGGCTGCCAGCTTCGTTTTCAGTGTGAAGTTCACAGCCTTGAAGAAAACACATAGCAGAGAGGTTGTGAAAAAATATTTGAAATTTAAACAAAACCAACAAAACATTAGCCAAATTTGGCTTCATGGAGGTTCAAGACACCAAGTTGTTTCTGTCTTGTCCACTATCTACAGACAGGTTTCTGAGAATTTATTATGTTTGTTATTGGAGAAAATCTCCCAAGTCCTCTTGATCTGTCCTTAGAAGAACTGAGCATGCTCAAAGCAGAGAACATGGGACAAAAGAAAGGTCATGATGGAGACCTTCAACTTGCCTTTGTGTCAGTCAGGAAGAAGAGTCCTTCTGGGAATTCCAGGGGCGGTAGCAAGAACTAGTTGTAGGGGAGCTTTAGGGAGGAAGATTTCAGGCAGATTGCAAAGGACTTAATGGGAACAGACTTGGAAAATTCTTCGGTTGGATGGTGGTGATGGTTTGCACAGCACTGTGAATGTATTAATGCTGCAGAACCAGACACTTAGAACAGTAAATTTTACGTATATTTTGCCACTTATTTTAAATTTAGTAATGTTAAAAAGGCACGTGGAATAGCGACTTCACAGTGGAGAAGCTGATACCAGCTTACACAAGAGATCAAGATCAGTGTCGCCCCTGTTGGGCCCGTTGTGTACTTCCTGATACGATGTGCTGAGAAGGGCGCAGTGCAACTTCCGTAACATTCCTACCACACATGAGAAGCCTGACTTTAATTGGGACATAAATCAAGCTCCAATTGAAAGACACTCAACAAAATAACTGACTTGTGTTTTTTAAAAAAAATAGCTATAACATGAAAGAGAAAGTCCGAAGAACTGTGCCACATTAAAAAAAGGCTAAGGAGATGCAACAACCCAATGAAATGCATGATCTGGAATTTCCTGCCGCTGACTTAACCGGGGAAATTGATAAAACCTAAGTATAAGGTCTGCAGATTAGGTAAGAGTGTTTCATCAATGACAATCTTATGGTTTTAATTGTGGTTATAGAAGAAGACATCTTTGATCTGAGGGAAATATCTCAAGTGATAAAAAAGCATCTTTATATCTGCATAAGAAGAAAATAATACATATATGTTTAAAAGAGAGAGAGACAGATAAACCATGTAGTAAGATGTTGACAGCCGTGCGATCTGGGTGAAGGTTGTACAGGACCTCTTTGTACTCTTTTTGCAGCTGCAAATTTGAAATACTGACACAGTAAGTTGTTTCAAGTGACTTACTGCTTTAAGGAGTAGGGTAAATATAAGCACGGTGCAGATGGCAAGAAAAATCTTCAATTCTGTGAGGCGATGCTGACCAGGATTCCTCCCCCTTTGTAACGCCACACTCCCTCTTCACCCCATTCATTGTACGGTCTCAATTCAAACCCGCTGCTTTGGGGGCCATGATAAATTCTCCACGAAATGTGGGCCTTGATTTGTTCCATGAGGAAATAAATGCACGGTCCCATGCATTTCTCTTCTTTACTGACTTGAGTTTATAAAGTTGCTTTTATTTCCTGACTTCAACCTCGCGTTTATGGTGTTGCTATTTATAGTGTTTCTTGAGGGGTGGGATTGAGGTTTGCGGAAAATGGCCGGCTATAGAACTTTTACCCAACTTATTGATCCTCCCCTGAGTCTCAGTTTGTTTCATTTGTTTTATCTGAAACAAGACTGGCAGTAATACCTGTCCTTATGAAATAGCTGTGAACTTTAATAACACCCCACAGGGAAAAGCTTTTTAAATGGCGCTTGGTACATAATAAACACCCAGCAAAATTGTAGCTCTTACAAGATGCCTGTGACTTGTCCACTGGAGGATTCTTTACACAGAATCCAGCAAAGATTAGCAAGGGGTCTGTCAGATCAAACCACCTCTAATAATAGGACTCTGTGGCTAATAGCTTGTTAATGAACTGCGTCCCATAACTTCTATTTTGGGTGGATTTTATCTCCTGTGGGATGTAATTGGTCTTACAGTTTTTGTAAAAAATGTTTCCTGAACCTTACAAAAGTAAAAGAAAGAAAAGTAAAGAAAAACATCTACCATTGTTGGCTTTTTGTGGCTTTTAGCTTTGGCTTCTTCATTGTTTCTAGGGAAAGACGAAGGAAGACACATTTTATTATCATGTTTACTTACCTTTAGAAAATGTGATCTGTATTGTGTACCTTGTCACCAAGGGAAAAAAATGTACCAGTCTGTTTCTCTTGTATGTGCCACTGGAACACCCGAACACGAATGCGTGGTTAAGTATCGAGCACAGCTGGGTCTCCAATGCCAGGGATACAATAGTTGTTAATTGGAAGTTTATGGAAGCAATGAACTAATGTGTCACGGTGTCTGTGCCTGTTCAGATTGGATCCTCTCTCCAAATTCCTTCATCCCTTCGTACACAGAGAGCCCATGTCTCTGTCTTGCCCAGCACCCGCTCCCTCCTCTCCCCTCTCCCACGTTTTCCTTTGTCTCCTGCTCTGAGTCAGTGGGTTAGATTCTGATTGGTGTAATAAAGTACAAATAGACTTTGCTCCCACAGTCATTAGTTTTCAGGATTTCTCTGTGGCTCCCCTCTTTTGGGAAACTCAGAAATTGATCAGTAGAAATACACATTTCCCCTGAACCTAGTAAGGAGTCTTTCATCACGTCAACAGCAAACTTTTCATTTTGGAAAGGAATTGTCAGGGTTTCTCTGAGGTGTTGTAAATTCTTGAGAATGTTGGCGCTTATATGCTTGCCTCTGTGTGGGGCGGATATAAATTATTTTAAAGGGGTTCATTTTGAGCAATATCAGATTTTAATTATTATGATCCTATGTTTGGGCAAAAGGCAGCACCCTGCTGCTAATATCTTCCAAAATGAATAAGCCATTAGCTCGATGTTACCAGCTCAGGAGTACTAGAATGAGCAATCAGAATTAAAGTTGTCAGTGCTTAATTAAAATATGCTGCAACTCCCCTCATATTCAGAGAACATGTGGTTTAAGCATTCAGGCTGAGAAAACATTCTCATGAATTAATAATTATTATGGATTCACTAGATGCAGTACAATGGGCTGGATGGCTGGGTGGCTGGATGGATGTCACTGGACAGATTGAACCAGATCTGCCCGGGCTAAGCCACAAGCTCACTCAACCACCTGTCGTAATCAGCACAGCATAATGCTTAAGACACTGAGAACCAGGCCGAGGAGCATGTTGAGGTGGCGTGGACACTCCCACTAGTCAGTCAATGAACACACATTGAATGGGTATCATGTTCTACTAAGCAGCTGGGGAATCAGTAGCACAGTCAGGTCTGGTCTAGTCCAGTGAAGACCTCTGAAAACATCCGAGGTGACATATGTGTTCCTCCATACTTACCTGGTCAAGGCTCA